CAGCTAATTTTTGTATTTTTAGTAGAGACAGTGTTTCACCATGTTGGCCAGGCTGGTCTCCTGATCTCAAGTGATCCGCCTGCCTCAGCCTCCCAAAGTGCTGGGATTACAGGCACGAACCTGGCCTTTTTAAATTTTTTGTGGAGACAGGGCCTCCCTCTGTTGCCCAGGTTGGTCTTGAACTCCTGGGCTCAAGTGATTCTCCTGCCTCAGCCTCCCAAAGTGCTGGGATTACAGGCAAGAGCCACAGCACCCAGCCCAGTGCTACTTCTGACTCTGTGAAGGCAGCAACCACATCCTCCCTTTCAGACCTCACATAACCAGAAGATTCCCCTTGTGAGTGGGGTAGTGTGGGCCCGTCAGCCTTCATGGAGGTCTGGCCTCACAGGCCAAGGGCTTCTGGCTCATAGGGCTCCCTGTGCTGTGGGGAAATGCCAAGGTGATGGTCAGGACACAGTGGCCAGTTGGAGAAGAGCCCCTTATGCTGACTCTTGGGGCCCACTACCACTTTGCTCCCTCTGGCCTCTTCTTCCCTTATAGCGGTTGGATTGCAGCCCTGTCTACACTGAAGAAAGGGTCCCTGGCCGTATCAGTCATCATGATGGTGGTGGCTGGCTTCTTCACCCTCTGTGCCGTGCTCTCAGTCTTCCTCCTGCAGCGGGTGAGTGGTGTGGGCAGGGCTGACAGCAAATGGGAGGAAGCAGGCAACTGTTTTCTGCCCTTGCCGCGAGATGTTCTTCACCACTGCAGTTGGGTCTCCTAGGCTCCCAAAGGTCCAGCACCTTTCTCCAGGGATCTGGGTGGGGGGTCAGGCAGTGCCAGGCTTCTGGTGACCCCTTTGGGAGTATGTCCTGGATGGCTGGGTTCCTGGTGGGCCCATAGGGCAGGCTCCTCTCACCCCACCCCTCTTCGCCAGGTGCACTCCCTCTACCGCCGGACAGGGGCCAGCTTCCAGCAGGCCCAGGAGGAGTTTTCCCAGGGCATCTTCAGCAGCAGAACCTTCCACAGAGCTGCTTCATCTGCTGCCCAAGGAGCCTTCCAGGGGAATTAGTCCTCCTCTCTCTTCTCTCCCCCTCAGCCTTTCTCTCGCCTGCCTTCTGAGCTGCACTTTCCATGGGTGCCTTATGTGGTGGTGGTTGTGCCCAGCACAGACCTGGCAGGGGTCTTGCTGTGGCTCTTCCTCCTCCCTCAGCGACCAGCTCTCCCTGGAAGGGGAGGGACAGGGACTTTTTTCCCCCCTCTATGTACAAAAAAAACAAAGCTCTCTTTCCTTCTCTAGTGATGGTTTGATAGGATTCTTTTGTCTCTGGAAGCAGTGAGACTGAAGTTCTCTTCGTCCTGTGCACACACAGACACCCCCACACAGTTGGGATCACAGGCTGACCTGGGCCCACCCCAGCTGGAGTTTTCTGCCAGGGTCCTGGGCCTTGACTTCCCCACCCTGCAGGCCTGGCCTGAATCTGGCCGCTCAGACACAGCCCAGCCCTTCCTGCCCCGGCTGGGGATAAGCCTCTCACAGGCTCTGGTGGACAGATCTGTTCTCCAGGTCACTCCAGTGGTCTCCAGGCTTCCAGAGAAGGCTGGTTGCCTCAAGCTCTTGCCTGCCTCATAAATGGATCCAGAGAAAACTGGCTGCCTTCGACTCTTCCCTGCCTCACATTCCTCATAAACGGATTCATAGCCCTTTAGCCCCCTGCACCCTCCTGCAGGGGACTGCACTTTGAGCCCTCTGGAGCCCTCCCTTGCTGAGCCTTACTCTCTTCAGACTCTGAATGTGCAATGCGGTTGGCTGGGGTTTGGGGACGGGAAGGGACCAAGGACACTGACCCCAAGCTGTCCTGCCCAGCGTCTTCCAGGAGGGCGGGGTCTGCCTGTGCTGGTGTGGTTGGTTTGGCCCTGTTTACTGTGACTTCCCCTCCCCTGAGGGACGGCTGCCTTTGCCTCTGCCTCAGATGCCACCTGCCCCACCCATGCTCCCCATCAGCGGCATC